GGTAGTACACGGTGAATACATGCCTAAGCCTTACCGGGACAGGTCACGTGAGGTCAACGTTGACCCATCCGTTGATCAACAAGGTTGTGGTACATAGGTTCAAGTTTCACATTCCGACTTTCTCGGATTACAACTTGACAGACAAAACAAGGCAAAAAACGATTCCAACGTTTCAAATTTCAACAGTGAACACGTCGAGTACGTGGGGGAAAAAGAAACGACAATGGCAAACAACGCAGTGAGTCGGGCCAGGATTGAACTGGCGACCTTCTGTGTACACGAAAAGGAATAATTGCATGTAAGACAGACGCGATGACCACTACGCCACCGACCCGTTGAGTGCGAATCGTTAATGGTGTATGCATACTATGTGCATGAAGTAGGTCCTTTGCCAGTCACGTCGCAAGGTCAGTCTGACTGAGGAAATAGAAACGACCTTCTTCAACGATTTCAACGATTCCAACCAAGGTTCGTTCAACGTTCAGCCGGCTCATAGTCATAAGAACCCAAGAACAACGCATCCTGACAACTCCGAATCGGATCCGAGCAAGAACTTGCAATTGTGAAGTATACTGACACAATTGTACACGACCGTTGACAGCGAGCGATCGACGTTTCTTCTCTTTGCGGGGGATCTCGTTAACTTCCTCAGCTTCCTCAGGCTACTTCCTACTTCCTACTTGCTATAGGTTAGTGCCGCTGTCATCGGTGTCAGTGTAGCCGTCGACAGCGTAGACAACATAGACAGCGGAAGACAGCGGAAGGTCCGGGGTAAGTGACATGCACTTCAAGTTAGCACTGATAGAAGTTACAGGTTACTTACATGGATGACAACCGGATCTGGGAATTCTAATAGAAAGGTAGTTTGACCAGAGTCGAGTTGGCCCGGGGTTGACGGACGTTCGAATTCGCAGGGACCAGTGGCCGGCCTCTCACGTAGTCTTAGTACTGGAAATATGCTTTGGGACTTCGGGTACGTACCCTACGTAGGTCGTCAATGGTCGGACTTAGGATGAGCGGGGAGCACTCGGCAACGTACGCTCAGGCTCAAGCTCCGGCTCACGTAGTGGCAACAGTGGCAAGCTAAGCTCCTCTCCCCTCTCCGGGCGGAAGCGGTATATGGCAAGCGGTAAATCTGGGGACCGACCGGTGAGTTAAGGAAATACATACCTAACCAACCTAAATTATACTATAACAGGAGCCATCCGACGATCGAGCAGACGGTACATCATCCGTCGAAGTTTGGACGTTTGAAGGATTGAACCGGCGATCCGCCCCCCTCCCCTCCCTCTCTCCTCTTCCTCGTCTCCATTGGACATGTAACGGAGTCGGTTCATTTTGTCATTTTTCCTGTTCAATGAGTGATTAGATCATGATTAGCTCGAGGAGAGAGATGGCGACAGAGGGCGACTGTCACGCGGTGGTTGGTGCCGTTGTCAGTTGTCAGTACTTAGTTGTCAGATAGACTACAGGATACAAGTTGCGTCGATAATGGAGGAGAGAGCTTCGAAAGCTGCTGATTACCAGTTACTGCCCGGGGGGGGGGCAGGTGAGCAGGATAGTGTCGAGTGTTGAAACGTTGGTGACTCTGAGGGAACGTACGCGTAAGTATGGATATCCGACTACTCGGTCGTTTGTGGAGGTTGGAGCGATGGCTGCGTCCGACGTCCAGCTAGTGGTGTAGCTACGCGTCGCGTCGTACTGACTCAACACTGACTCATACAGAACGCGTAACGTTACGGAGGATGCTCGCGAGCTTGAACGCGCTAACGAAACCGGCCTACGGTGATAGAGTCAACTTGCAAGGCCTAGGGAGCCGACGGCGAACAGAAGGTGAGTCGCGACAGATTCATCCGTTCGCTCTCCCTTCTTCCCTCGAGCCTCCCTCGAACTCGAAGTTGGGACACCCGCACGGTCAATACCAAACACCGAGAAGCTCACTGAAACCATTTGATTTGGTATACACGACAATATTACTGTAATGCACGATATTGACTGAGCGCAGTACTAGTGGGCGCACTGTGTATGATAAACCAAACTTGAAAGTAGGGCACCACCGTACCACCGAGGTAAAGAATTCGAAGGACAAGAGAGTCCAGACCCATCCCATTCCCTTCCCATACACCCATAGAGAAGTTAAGAGCTCTAGATAACCCTCGTCATCGATGACCACACCGCGAGTACCTGTACAGTCCTAGTCCTAGTCCTAGTCCTATGCAATCTCGGCGCCGGGGACTCGGGTTTATCAGGTGAACAGCTTGGACGGGAACGTTGAACCTTAGCGTATTGCATAGTCCTATGTAGTCCTAGTGTGGTACCAGTACTAGTCTAGACGTTGAGGGAGGTGAGAGAAGAGAGCGAGGAGGAAAAAGGAGCCGCGGCGGTCTTTGAACGAGTTGGGTTATCTTTAGCTACGTTCTGAGTTCGGGAGGTTTCAGTCCGGGTCGTTACACATTACTGGTACTGGCTGGTACTGGTGCTAGTGCGAGATCACAACATATGCGGTGTTGCTAGTGCTAGTGTATCCCGAACGATGAGATTGCTGGTGACATCCCGAGAGCGAGATTGCTAGTGGCATCCCGAGCCTGAGCGGCGGAATTCAAATCTGCAGTGTATGCGTAATAACAGTTATGAAGGCTAAGCTTTTGACTCATCCATTCGTAGTGTGGTACTAGTACCCGGGACCGTCTCGCCCTTCGTATTACAGTACTATCAATATCGATATTCGTACTGTAGCGTCGGCGGCGGAGAGCAGGTTTGACTTCCAGCTGAATTCATATCGATAGGCGGGTCCGAAGAAACCAGTACAGCCGTCGGAGGCCAAAAAGAGATCTCAGAGTGTCAGCCAGACTCGGGAGCAAGGCCGAACGTACTGCGATGATTGCTGCGACGGTACAGAAGCACTTGCGGATCTGTTTTCCGTTATACTCCGCAAGACCCTGACTATCCAGCTTTTCGATGGCCCGCCTATCGTTATGGATTTAGCTGTCATATGTACATCTTGAGAGATGTGGGTTCCAACGGTCCCGGTCAAGCTTCAAATTCGGAAGCATGCAGCGTACGTGAGTTACCGAGGAGCTCGAGGTTCTTACTGCGAACGTGCTGCGACTCGCGAGCCCAGGACGGTGGACCTAATCGGAGCCTCATATTGCATGCAGCACAAGTAATAACATGCTCATTGCTTATCAAGACCATATAGCAATGAAGCCAGGTAGGGGAGGGGACTGAGCGGCCTCCGATCGCGAGCTATAGCCTACGAGTCACGACGAAGAGGCTGAGGTTCTGGACCCCCTGAGCTGAGACCCGTAGATAGAGATATGCATCCGTCAGGTACGTACCCTCGAATCTAAATACGCACCCCGAGATTCGAGCTCATACTGTAAAATGATACACGACTCCCACACATGCGGTTGGAAGCTTGAGATGAAGAGACGGGAGGGTTGGTACTTGGTAGGTTCCGCGGGAGCCAAGTATAGATCTACGCGTTAGGCTTTCGAATGGACTTTTGTGATTAGTAGGTGCTGCGCGGAAATATGGAGGCAAGTCTATCTTGCTTGGTTCTTGCGACGAGTTGGTGAGATGTGAGGTGATCAAGATGAGAAGGGGTGCGACGATCAGTAAAGAGACAATAGACGTTGATATTACGCCGAGGAGCAAGGGGAACGTCAGATGATGGCAAAAGAGGGGATCAGCAGCTGCAGCGTATCAGAGGCCGTTCGACGCCTTGGGGCGTCGCCGCGTCGTTATACGAGACTAGGCCGGAAGGAGTTAGAGGGGCCCGAGGGGGAGGAGCCGCTATGGGATTATAGGAGACAGAGGGGGGGAATTGGAAGGTTCCAACAGAGTCCGGTGATGATGGGAGGATCTAGATGGCGTTCTGAGTTGCGAGGGACGGTGACGGGATGGGAGAGGATGGGAGTGAAGCAGAGGATGGGTCATGGGACGCGTCGACGTGAGAGAGGACGGTGCGATAGGAGTGCTTCGTGGTGAGCTTCGTGGTGATGAGCAGGAGCACAATGAAGAGAAGAAGCAGCTGCGCGCGAAGGACAAGGAACGGCCGAGCTGCAGGCGGTGGAACGAGGGCGATGGAGTGCACGCTGATGGCAACCTCTTGCAACCTCCTGCAACCTCTTGCAACCTCCTGCAACCTCTTGCAATCCAATCGAGTGTGCAGGAACAGGCAAGAACGCGTCGAGATAAGCGTGATCTCGGCGCCTCTCGGCGTGATCTGAGATACACCGCCGCCACCAGTCACGCCTCTCCGCCCGGGTCCGCCTAGCCTTTTTCGGCACACCCTATCGGAAGCGCCCATACTACGCCCTAGCCGACTGCTGCTCGCTGTTCACGTCGACTGTCGACACCATCGCGCGCGACGTCGAGCATCCATACCCTTCTGCTGCACGACGAGCAAATATATTCACGAATTTCTGCAATATCGCCGACGCACGCGAGCCCCACACGGCGGACGCGAGAAGACGCGAACAAGGTTTGGCCCTTGGGTTCGCCCGTTCCCGAAGTGTCCCAATTCAACTGCCTGTTCTCCCTCCGTCTCAACTGCCTGCCCTCCTTCTCCCACACCACACGACGACACACTCGTCCGCTCTCCCACCATCATGGCTGCTGCTGCCTCCATACCCAGTGATCTCCGACATACGCTCGACGACAGCCACAGCGACAATGGCATCGACAATGGCAGTCCGATACACGGTCTGTCTTATCCCCCGTCCTTCTTGTCCAACCTCCCCGTTCTTGAGCCCCGCGCACCCCCGCACGAACCCATTCGCGCCATCTCGGCCGACCAGTTCAACGATATCCATCTCAACTACCTCACCTCCCATGCTCCCGACAGTGTCATCTTCCCCTTTCTCCACGGCCTCGAGGGCGACAACCAGAACCAGAACATGTTTTTCGCCAATGCTGCGACTGCACCTTGGCGAGAAGTCCAGCCGGCTGCTAATGGTTCGGGTACGGAGTCTGTGAAGGAGGATGGTAACGAAGGGTTAGCGAGGAAAGGGAAAGTCTACCCCGAGATACCAAAGTTCAGAGGTCTCATATGGGTCGCTGCGCCCGACCAACCCACTGCATTATCCACCTCCACCTCCTTCTCCTCCGCCTCTTTCAACCATAGTCAGAATGGGGCCAATGGCCACTCGCAGCCTGGCGAATTGAGCGATTGCTCGTCCTCGGACTCTTCAGACGACGACGATCTTGAGACGTGTGATGATTATAGCTCGATGATGCCTATGGATATTGATATGGATGATGAGAGTGGGTCTAACGCTGCTGCTGTGAGCTTGGAGGAGGATATGGATGAAGCGTTTAGACGAGACCCGT